ACACGTCCGTAATGCACACCCGCCTTCAGAGTCAAGAACCAATCAAATTTCGTGAAGACAAGCGATCTGAGAGCGCGATTCGCAACGCTGCAATCGCTATCGCGTCCCGTGTGTCGGGTTTCACCCTGGCTGCGATGACAGCCGTTAATCGCTGTAGTTTGTTGCTGCCCGTGTGTCGAGCCCTTAACAACAATAGGGTGAGTTATGAACTTTTAATGTGTTTTAACTTACTAATTTAAGCTGAAAACATACTCCCTGCGAACTGCCGACGTTGGCACGGGTTATCGCAGTTTAATGACGAAAATTACGTCACCAGGCTTCTCAGCGTCGTGTCGACAGCCCCTTTTGGCACAACCCCCCGGCAGAACTTTTGACCCCCCTCCCGTGTCGACCGTAATGTGTGATTGGTCTGAAATTCGTGAGCGTTTGTTTGTGCTGCGCTCGGGGAAAAAAAAGAAAAAAGAACGACTCTCTCCCAGACTAGAAAGCAGAGTTTTATAAGATAGTCAAACCGTGAAAAACTTATGGCTTGTTTGTTTGTGCTGAATGCGTTGCTGCACTCGTTAAAAAACAAAAAAGAGGGGAAAAAAGCCCCAACTCGCTCCCAGATCTGACACCAGGAAGTAGAGTTTTATAAAAGATAGTCAAACCGTGAAAAACTCATGAATGGAGATAAAACAGACGTTGTGCATGGAGGAATCTGACTGATAAAAACTGTGGAGCTTTAAGCAGGACAGATGTGGATAAATACGTCGTCGGGTGAGTGACGTTTTTTTTTTTCTGCAATGATTGTCGGCTGTTGCGGGGGGGAAATTCCTTGCAATGACGTATGGTTCAGTGGCAGGGGGGTTTCCCGACCTCGGAGCGGGGTGTCTCAGTGATTAGTCTGTGCGAAAATGACTGCTGATCAACCACGTGACCGTGCGTCGACCCGTCGGCGTCGGAGCGAGTATGTTTCAGGCTTTAGCTGTTTCTGCCCTCTGTGTCGGACTATGTGTGGTAGAGAGAACAGCTGTGTTTAAGTTTCACTTTCGCAGACGGGAGCGCCAAGTTCAGCACCATGGGGGACCGACCTATCTGCACTATTGCTCCTCGTCTGTGGAATTCACTCCCTGATCATTTAAGGGAACCACTGACTGCTGAATCCTTCAAAAAAGGACTAAAAACCAACCTGTTTTGCACCTTCTATGGCCATGTTTGAATCTTATTTTATTTTATTTTTTATTTTGTAGCACTTTGGGATTCCTGAATGTAAATTGCCCTATAAATC